TTCTTAAGAAGTATCTCCTCTTGCACAGGATGCCACATGTACAGTATGCAAAAACAGAGAAGCTTTAATTTACAAACGATAATGATCATTTATTTATTGCGCTTCTCTCTCCCAGTTGTATTCTTTCCACCGTGAAGACAGCCTACTAATTACAGGAGTGAATTAGCTAACTGGATTTTTAAGAATCCAGGTTTGTAAAACACTGAAATTATTATCAGTTCTCAGGATATTTTTTGGCCTTTTTTTTAAGAGAACCACAATGACCTACTTTTCAGATTGCTGTCTCTGCCAGCACATCCAATGTTGCAACTTGACTAAAATAAGCTGTCATTTTTATTTTGCTCTCAATTTTTTGATCATATTACTCCCTCAGTACTTATCCACTCATGCGGTCAACATTAGCTGAAAGATTTGGTAGCTTGGAAACGTGATAGCTGGGGTTTTACCATAGCTTCAGTACCGGCGATGCCTTTCACTCAGCCAGCCGGAAGTGACTTTTCTGTATGGGAGGGGTTTGGGGACATGGAGATGCAAGAGGTCAAATTCTTACAAGCTGCAAGATGGATTAACGGAATTAAATAATCTATTTATCTGGAGTGCTAGACATGATTCGAGAGAAAAATTCCATCTCCCTATCTCTACAGTCTCCTCCAGTCTTACAGCCCTCTGAGATCTATAAACTCCTCCAATTCCAGACTGCTGAGCATTCCTGATTTTAATTCCTGCACCAATAGGCGACCATGGCTTTAGATGCCAAAGCCCCACATTCCAGAACATCCCCCGCCATCTCCTATTTTTAAGATGCTTCTAAAATCCTCTCTCTCTGATGGAACATCGGGCCAGCAATCCTAATATCATCTCGTGTAGATTAGTGTCAGACTTCATTTGATATTGTTTCTGTGAAGTGCCTGGAAACGTGTGACTCTGTTAATTGGGTGCCATGTAAATGCATTGCTATCATGCACTATAGTTCAAAGTAAGTTAAAGTAAATGCTGAGGAATATCGAGTCCTATAGGCTATATCAATAATTGAGTCAGGGAGATAGTTAATATTTGAATAGGCTAGTTTCTCCTGCAATTTTTGAAACCAAGTCTAGCCATGAGTGAGCGTTCTGAATTTAAATATTGCCTCCCAAAGTAACAGTCTACAAAACACCGATATATAAGGACTTTGAGAATGTATTGAGTTTTCCAAGTCCAAGTAAATGAAGTTGAGCTCTGGTCAGCTTTGCACATCCAGATCTCAAGTAAAATGTAGAAACAGGAGCAGGCCATTCCACTCCTAGAGCCTATTTTGCCATTTGATGAGATTATGGCTGATCTGTGACCTAACTCCATCTTCCTGCTTTTGGCCCATATCCCTTAACACCTTTGTTTAATAAAAATAAACTATCTCAGATTTAAAATTAGTAACTGATCCAGCATCCACTGCCATTTGAGGAAGAGAGTTCTAAGCATCTCCAATCCTTTGTGTGCAGGAGCATTTCCTAACACTTCTCCTGAATGGCCTGACCCTCATTCTAGACTCCGCTCTAGAATCCCCAACTGGTGGAAAAATTTATCTTTATCTACCCTGTCTTTCCCTTCAATCAGATCACTCCTTGTGCTTCTAAATTGTGGAGAAAACAGGCCTGATTTATATAATCTCTCCTTATAATCCCTGAATGCTGTTGTCATTGTTGTGAACCTATGTTGTACTTCCCTCCTAGGCCAATGTATCCATCCTAAGGTGTGCTGTCCAGATCTGCTCACATTACTGTGTTCACATGTACCATGTGTGAACGTTGGTAAATTTCAAGACAAGGTGAAGTTGACAATTGCATCAGCAAAAGGTGGCTGACTGGATTGATCCTAGTCTCTCTAGTCTCTTTGGATTTCATGTTGAATGTCAAGAATTTTAGCTTCATTTTCAAACATTGTTTATTAATAAAGGCTTAAAAAATTGCCTGCCTTTCTGTGGAAACACACAATCTTCAGTATCAAATATAAACCGTTGCTAATCTCTTCATCACTAATATTTGATGAAGTGGGTAACATTGGAAGCTACAAAACAGTTCATCATGTTGTAACCCAAAAGTCCCGGAGAAAACATATTACAGCTCAGTAAATGCGCCATTTCTCTGTTCCATTCAGACTAATCCAATGTATTTTGTGCATAAAATCCCATTAGCATTGGGATATTTGAGGCAGATGAATTACTAAAAGATTGGACCCGTGCAGTGCGGTATTCCAGATCTCATACTGCAGAGGTCTGCACTGTTTTATTGTCAGATATGTAATGTCCTGAATAATTGAAAGGTGATGCTGGTCAAAAGCAGATCATCAATCCCTTGTGAGTTCTGACATTTCAAATATACAGGCCACACAGTGGGAAAGGTGACATTGGGAAGTGATATATCCACAACGAAGGCAAAGTCCATTTGTACAGAAGCCATATTGCATTTACATGGCTCGTTTATCTATCTGAAATATTGACAGATTCCTCCACTACTAAAATAACCTGCGCTATTTTCAAATGCCAGCTTTTCCATCGCCACCTTAACTTGTCCTTTTTTTTAACTATGAGACTCTCTCATTGGATAGATGGTAATGCTTTGTGCAGAGATGCATAGGGTAACCAAATGCACACACTTCCTATATGCTATCAAATGTCCATGCATCATGATAATTTTACCAGAGAAAATCAGAATGAATAGGTGGGTCGCCTTATGAGGAAAGACTTATATCCACTGGAGTTTAACAGAATAAGAGGTGACTTATTGAAACAAACAAGATCCTGAGTGTGAAAAAAAACTGTGGATGCTGGAAATTAAAAACAAAAAGCAGAAATTGCTGGAGAAACTCTGCAGATCTGGCAGTGGAGAGAGAAACAGAGTTAACGTTTTGGGTCCAGTGACTCTTTTGCAGAGTTCTTCTGGAGTTCTGGTGAAGGGTCACTGGACCTGAAACATTAATTCTGCTTTCTCTCCACAGATGATGCCAGACCTGTTGAGTTTTTCCAGCAATTTCTGATTTTGTTGAAGAATCTGTTTAAGAAGGTTTCTCCTGGTCACTTTATTCCAAGAGGTGGTGATCACCCTTAGGGTGGGATTACCTGATTGGGCCAGTGTTCAGGGACAAGAGGGAATGACTGCAGGTAAGGCAGGTAAGGGGATCCAGGCAGCATGAGCACGGGAGCCTTAGCCTTTGCAATTGTCAAATAGAATTGAGATTTTTCTCCATCTGTCTGGGTGAAAGTGAGACTGTAGGGTGGATGAGTTAACTGAACATGGCACCATGGTACAGGAAGCAAGACAAGTGAGGGATGCTGAAAGAAATGTGGTGGTAGTAGGGGACAGAGTAGTGAGGGGGAATTGACATTGGCGAGGTTGTTGACTTGTTCGCCGAGCTGGCTTGTTTTTGTTCAGACGTTTCGTCACCATGCTAGGTGACATCATCAGTGGAGCCTCCGATGAAGCGATGTTATTCTACTCGGCTTGGAATTTATACTGTCCATTCCGTTATGGTGAGTACTGTCATTTTCGGTTTCGATCTGTATGGGTTTGTATATAGGGTCCAATTCTATCTGCTTGTTGGTAGTATTACGGGTGGAGAACCATGCTTCTAGGAATTCCTGTGTGTGTCGATGTTTGGCTTGGGCTACTATGGGGCTACTATCCTATAGCCCAAGCCGAGTAGAATAACATCGCTTCATCGGAGGCTCCACTGATGATGTCACCTAGCATGGTGACGAAACGTCTGAACAAAAACAAGCCAGCTTGGCGAGCAAGTCAACAACCTCATCCACAACCCAAGATATAGATCTTTGCTAAAACTTTAAATTGACACTAATCTCTGCAATAAACAGGGTGAGTCCAGGTGGCATCATTTTCAGTCAATGCCAGGGTTCAGGGTTTCTGCTCTGGGCTGAGGAAGAACTTTCAGTGGGAGGGGAAGGATCTAGTCATTATAGCCCACACCGATCTCAATGATATAGGAAGAACTCACGAAGTGTGAAAGGCTTAGGGCTAAATTTACAAGAACTTTAAAGATAATAATCTCTGGATCACTACCTGAATGATATGCAAAGACAGAAATTAGATTTGAGACATGAACACATTATGTAAGGGATGAATTGGGACTAGTCGGTTCTAGTTCATGGGGAAAGTGGAATCTGTACCATTGGAAAGGTCTACATGTGAACGATGCTGGGACTGGTGTTCTGGTGAGCAGCATAACTAGGTGAGTGGAGAGGGTGAGGGATCATGCAGAGGTCAATGTAACAAATCAAGGGGTAGACTCAAGGTTGCAGAAGAAAATGTTAATATGGAAAATTAAGGTCAGAGAATGACACGAAGGGACTGAGCAAAAACTCCTAAGAAAAACATACGCACCCCCACACAAGTCTATGGGGTGAATCTGTGTTTGCAGATACATTCTATTTTGTTCAAAAAGCACACAATTTATGGTCAGTCAGTCAGCCAACGTGGTGTTTTATAAATTCCTACTTTAGAAAAAAACCAGTCTGATTCCAAACCAACACACAAACAGATTCTAAACAAGGCCTCACACCTAACATACATTGTCTGACCTAAAATGTCTCCTCTTCTTTGCACTGATAAAACTTTTAGCTCTCTCAGGGCAGTGACCTGAAAGAAATTCAGGGATTTATATATACATATTAATCAATTAAAACTTTCTAACTGATTAAAGATTTAACAGTATCTTAGATTTGTTTAATGCAACCTCATCAGTGGTGTAACCCTTTGATATTTTACTTATAAACTCTGTGTTCTGTGTGCTTCTTTCTCACTTCACCTGACAAAGGTGCTATGCTCCAAAAGCTTGTGATTTCAAATAAACCTGTTGGATTATAATCTGGTGTCATGCGATTTTTGACTTTGTCCACTCCTGTCCAACACCGGCACCTCCACATTAAGAAAACACCGACAGTCAAAACTAGGCATTTCAAAAAGGCAAATACTTCCAAGAAACTTCAGGTTGAAGAAGAAGTGTCTGACCTGTATCTGATTCCACTGAGAAGTAAGGCTGCCCTTGTAAGATACTGTATGCCACCCTGGCACTGTACCCGTAGGTAGGGTCATCAGCATCAGTAGCTATCACTTGAATTACAGAGGTACCTGGAACATACACAAATAAATTATATCAGTTCAGCATTATCGTCAGTACAAAGTTTCCCCAAATTTCAAGTATTTTGACTGTTGTGTTTGGTAATAATGAATCTTTTTTCTCAATGTACCAGAGAGTGTGTACATCAGGGCATCTCAAACATTTTCCCCACTGTGACCCCACTTTGAGGCTTGAAAATTGTCATGACTATTTAGCAAAAAAAATGCCAACAATAGCTTCCATGCACATTCCCCATGCCAATACTTCCAACTGAGTTGACTTCCCAACTAAACAGCACCCTCTTCTCACGCACACAAATTATTGGTGCCTTTGAAATTTGGCATTCTTGCATAGCTCCTGATGAGAGTAAAGCTTTCCCAGGATCCTTGTTTTCAACAGTATTGATATGAAATATTGTTACAAGACACACAAAGTCAAAATTCTTCATCTTGCGCTTGTTAGAGCAGGCATGCAAGAAACTTGGAAAGGGAATACCAATTTATACAGCAGAAGAGGGTGCTGATCTGTTGGGTTGTGGTTGACATGGAGATGTTTCAGGAGCTATTAACTGTCAATCTTAGCTGAAAAGGAATTCAGATCAGGCTGTAGATTCAGTTTGTTCTTTGTGGTGTCACGGGATATACAACAAGAATTAATAACCTCCATGACTTTTGCTCAATGAAAAGGTGTGATGTCTGGGTGAATGCCTTTTGCCTCCATGAGTTTTAGTACCTGTGTGATTCAGGGATAAGGGCCATATATCTCAAAGACTGACAGACTCTATTGAACAACATCTCCTTTGGACATTCATAGTGAGCAACGTGCCAATGGTGTTTATCTGGCTTGTGCTTACAAACCACAGAATGCCATGTACAACATTAGGGTGTGATACTGCTATCAGACAGCACTTACTAAACAATCTTGAGTGTATTAAGAATTAGACCAGAAGCAGTTTGAGATTATCCTTCAGGTTCACAGTGTAATGTACTTGTGTGTGCTAGAAGCTCCAAATATTACGAATATCAGAACACAGGACCCTGTTCTATGTGCATTAATATTGTTACTTCTTGATTCTTTATAAAGGTTACCACACTAATATAGCCATATGGAAAACTTAAGGCCATTTAACCCATTGTGTCCATACTAGCTAAGAAAAAGTGACCCAGCTTCTTACCACTTTGCACATCTTTGCATCTTGTACGTACAGTAGGTCAAGTACCGATCTAACTTTTATTTTAGTTGAGGGCTCCTGCTTCTATCGCAAAACCTCAGAATGATTACTGTAAAGACGGAGGCCATTCAACCCATCGTCCTGAATAAACACATTAAATTGCATCATTACCTGGTTCCAATCTCTGGCTTTCCAACCCATACCCTTGCAAATTATTTTTATCCAAATAATCATCCAATACCCGCAAGAATGCCTCAAATGAACTCGCCCCCATCACATTTCCAAGCAGCGCATGCCACACACTAACTTCTCGCTGTGTGAAAGAGGTTTTTCTCTTCACATCACTCTTGCTTCTTTTGCAGATCGTTTTAAACATGCGTCCTCTCATTCTTGTTCATTTTACAAGTGGAAACAATTTCTTCCTATCCAGCCTACTCATGATTTAAAAATAATTGTTTCTGGGGATTTCCTTCACTCTCCATGTTGCCAGGTTCCTGACTCTGAGATGGGGTTTTCATTGACTGTTGAATCAGTTCAGTTGAATCATTGTAAACAGATGAAGAGGTATCACATCATAACTTCAGAATTCTCACACATACAGAAGGTGATGCTGGTTTTCAGCAGGAACACAAAGTGGGTGATAGTGACTCACATCCCATTGGCTCCACTGGGGAAAGGACATCAGATGAGGCGCTATTTCTGCACATCAGTCTCCACATGAAGTAAATAGATTCACGCACAGAAATCAGGCAAGCAGGTCGCAGACAAAACTGCACAAGCTTATCTTTAATGACAGCAGAAAGCTCACCAAGTCTTTGACATTTGCAATTTCCTACTCCAGCAGTCAACGTGAAGGACTATTTTAACAAATGTCTGTAGCATGCTCCACAGCTCTCTTTCGCTTTCCAAATTCAGTGCCACTCTGAACCACTCTGGTTGCTACACTTTCTATGATTCAGGTCTACCTTTCTCCCTCTCTCTCTAGACCTCCCTATATTTCAGGCTAATGCCTTTCTGTATCCCATTAGCCTTTTGATCTCTTTGGAGTACGCATGGCTTGACGTTTTCTCTAAATGGTCCACAGATGGCGGGGGGTGTGCTGTGTATTCATGATGGTGTTCCTCACATTTCCAGGTCATGTATTCCTGCCTGCTTAGTAAGCACTTTAATCCAGTCTGGAGACAGACATCTAGAAATGGTGTTACCCCAGAAGGAAAACCCTATAAAACTTGTGAATGGCACATGTTGGTCCAATTTGTCTAGTGTACTTTCAAACTGTGCTCAAATATGGCCAGGTATTATTGTTTATTTTACCGTTTTTTTCCTCTCTGGACTGATCCACAGACCACAATCAGTGAGAATATGCAACAGCACCCCTCCACGACAATCCTTAACACCAGCGCCCCAAAAGGCTGTGTACTCAGCCCCTTACTATATTCACTACACACTCAAGACTGGGTGGGTGAATTTCGTCCGAACTCCATCTACTAGTTCGCTGATGAAACCACCATTGTAGGCTGGATCTCAGTGATGAGACAGAATACAGGGAAGAGATAGAGTGCTTGGTGATGAGGTGTAAGGATAACAATCTCTCCCTCAATGTCAGCACAATGAAGGAGCTGGTCATTGACTTCAGGAAGTGGAGTGCAGGACATGCCCCTATCTGCACCAATGGTGCGGAGGTGGAGATGGTCAAGAGGGTCAAGTTTCTAGCAGTGACAATCACCAACAATCTGTCCTGGACCACCCATGTTGATGTGACAGTCTAGAAAGCACTACAATGCCTCTTCTTCCTCAGGAGGCTAAGGAAATTTGGCATGCCCATAAAGACGCTTGCCAATTTTTATAAATGCACTATAGAAAACATTCTATCTGGATGCATTACAGCTTGTTATGGCAACTGCTCTGCCCAGGACCATAAACAACTACAGAGAGTTGTGAAAACAGCCCAGACCATCACGGAAATCAGCCTTCCATCCTTTTACTCCATCTATGTTACCCGCTGCCTCAGAAAGGCAGCGAACATAATCAAAGACCCCTCCCACCCCAGGCATAATCTCTTCCAACTACTTTTAATTGGACAGTAGATACAAAATCTTCAACACACGTGGCAACAGGTTCAAGAACAGCTTCTTCTCTGCTGTTATTAGACTGCTGAATGGACCTCTCAAATTTCAAATTTAATGTTGATCTCGCTCTTTGTGTACCTTCTCTGCAGCCATAACATTGTATTCCTCGCTCTGTTGTATTACCCTAATGCACTTTGTAAGTTATGATCTGCCTGTACTGCATGCAAAACAAAACTTTTCACTGTACCTAGGTACATGTGACAATAATAAATCAAATCAACTATACAAGGGTGTGGCACCACTTTTGTCGGTACCAAAGGTAGACTTTCCTCGGTTAATCTGCACACTTAGTTAATTCTGACAATACTGGGAATTCGTCACAAAAATAACTGCATACAAGCTAAGCATATAAGTTGACTTGGCCTCCCAAAAGACCTTATGTTTCTGTCTCAACAGGTAACACTTTTAATATCCTGCATGATAGCTTAACAGAGACAATAAAGTTGTGTATGACATAATAATGCTGTATATTGTTTGCTGAGACAGTTTCATTGATATTTTGATAGGGAAGGCTTGAGGATGCATTTGTATTCATTCATGCAATGTGGATGCTGCTGAGAAGGCTACAATAAAGCCCTTCACTTGGGAAGTGGTGGTGTGCCTACTTCTTCTTAAACTGCTACAGGTATACACACAGTGCCATCAGGATGATGGCTATATTGTTAAATACAGTACCTTTATCAAAGCTTGAAAGTGTGCAGATACGATATAGAAGTTAGGCACCACACAAAGCAATAAGAAGCAACTTCCATCAAAGTTTTCTTAAACTTTGACACAAAGTCAAATCAATGACTTCAAGCGTATTCTTTTAGCTTGAGATTGGACACTGTCAGGGAGGAGTTTCAAGGGATTTGACAACTCAGTGGTGAGCCAATAGTAATAATTGTTTGATATCAGGATAGTGTGTGAGCTGGGGGGACACATGATGTTAGTGGTATTCCCGTGTATCAACTACCCTTGTCCTTCTAAGTGGTAGAGACTGTAAAATCGGAAGGTACTGTTGAAGGAGCCTTGGCACATCACTGCAGTGAAACTTGTAGATAGTACACATGGCTGCAACTGTGCAGCGGTGATGGAGGGATTGGATGCACGTGGATATGATGTCAATCAAGCGGGCTGCTTTGGCCTGGATGGTTTTGAGCTTCTCGAGTGTTGCTGGAGCTACATCCATCCAGGCAAGTGGGGTGTATTCCATCACATTCCTGACTTGTGCCTTGCAGATGGTGGACAGGCTTTGGGGAGTCAGGAGGTGAGTGATTCACCATAGAATTCACAAACTCTGACCTGTCATTGTAGCCACAGTGTTTTGATTAATTTCATTTCTGACAAAGAGGCTGTGGATATCGTCACTAATACACTGACGCTTTGTAAGTGGAGTAAAACATGACAGCTTGAGCATGTGCAACATAAAATTATTTCCAAAATGCAGAATGTAAATTTCTTGCAGCAACTGATATCCTGCCTGACGTGTTACCTCAGATGCCTTCTTTCTCTGTAATGTTTTAAATACCACATCAAGAATACACAGTGGCTCAGTGGTTAGCACTGATACCTCCCAATGCCAGGGACCTCGGTTCAATTCCACCCTAGGGTGACTGTCTGTGTGGAGTTTGCATATTCTCCCTGTGTCTGTGCGAGTTTCCTCTGGGTGCTCTGGTTTCCTCCCACAGTCCAAAGATGTGCAGGCTAGATGGATTGGCCGTGCTAAATT